AACATCATTTAATATTTTAAATATTTTAAATGTTAATTATTGTAATATTTTAATATTTAATAAGAATTTATTGTGATTAGACGGACAAGATTTAAACAATATATATTTATTATATCACAATGTGACGCAACTTTACCATCTCAATCTTGAAGTAATTAATTGAGAAAGATACACATCATCTATTTGGCTTCCTTGTTAAACTACTAGATCAAAAATATTTTATATGACGATTAAAGGATGTTATACATGGAACGGCATAAATCCTGCTATAAATAATTTCGTTACTGTAACATTAAGGTTGTTTTTATTAAACCTCTTCTAAATACGTTGGAATTAATTTACTGAAGCACAGTCATTCTTTAGAGGTGATAACAGTCATGAAATTACCCACCTTTTATGTAACCCCAAGTTATGCGTTCACAAGAGCCAGTCTCCAGTCCGTAAACTGAGAATTTTCATTCCATTCGATATTACAAATGTGTTTGATTTATAACATAGTCATCCTAGAAATATTTTAAAACATAAGACTCTAAAGGTTAACGATGAAATTGCTTTTTTAAATACATTTATAAATATGTATTGTACTCTTAGTGATATCACGAAACATTATTCAGAAAGGTGATTTGTTTGGGTGACTTATATTGAAATACGGAGAAATCAAATAGGAGAATAGATTTCCTAGACAAAACAAATAGCAAAAGTTTTTCAATAAAACTCCTACAAGAACTGAGCGAATAAATGTCCACAGCATATTCAATTTAAAATGCAACCCCCTTATATTTATATGCTCCGGTGGAATCAATTTAACACAAACGAGCTGCAAATACAAATTCGTTATTTTGCAGTTAATAAGAAATAAAGTTCAATAAACGTGTAGGAACTTTAAGGTGAGTGGTAATTTCTTATACCACATCAACACCTGACAAAAATCACTCACTGAAAAGAATGAAAAGTTAAATTAAATGACCTACACAACACGTAATTCCGTGTCGAAAACATTCAGAAATTTTTATGACAAAATATTCTATAACATGCAATGAATCAGACAGCCCGCAAAAACTAAGAAATGTTTGGTCCTTTTAAAAAGTGTTCCAGTTCAAAACTGCTTTTTACGATAGAATTTTTTTACGTTACGCTTTTATGAACAATGAGTTATGGTGTTATACCGTTCACAAATTTCGTAATTAATTTTTGTTCACATCAGTCTACTACATACCAATACAATCTATTTACTTATTTAAACCCCGAATATTAAAAACACATGTTCTTTAGAAACACTGATCACCTTTTAAAAATTCATATATCATCAGTTTGTTTACATGCATTTTCCATCAACTTGTGTACGTGTTTAATGTTTATTTAACGACGCTCGATACATCATACTATGCCGAGACAAAGGATACGTTGTTAATGAATAACAATTGAATAAAAATTTACTTGGATATTATCCATCGTCTAGTAATAAAACGTAAAACGGAGATAGGGATTAGCTCTATCTAGTGGGCTCAACTGAGTAGGAACCTGAAGACGGTGATAGAGCCTCATCTCCGAAACGTCGTTTTACGTTTTTTACGTTTTATTACTAGACGATGGATAATATCCAAGTAAATTTTTATTCAATTGACTCTTCACCATCGTCAAGAAGTTTTAGAAATGAATAACAAATTTGGGATTATGTAAAAGTAAGCGATCCTGGCCTAATGTAAGCATTTGTATGGAGAGACAGAAGGAAATTATTAAAATCTTTAGTCAGCAAAACTGAGCCCAGTAGTCCACGATGTTCAATAACAAAAATCTTTTACGACAAAGAAAGATTTCCAGGGATGCTTCCAGGCTTGGCAGCGGCGCTGGGATCGTTGTGTTCACTCCCAGGGGAACTACTTCGAGGGTGATGGATGAATTTAATACCTGAGATAAGTGTACGGGTTTTTATAGGCGCAGTCTTGAAACTTTCCGATCGCACCTCCTATATCTCGTCCAAGTTAATAGGACCGAAACATTTTTGTGTAGAAAGTAATAAAGTTATTGTAGTATTATCTTTTCAAATCACATCTAAAGTACAAACTTAATACAATTTATTTCTAAACTAAATTAAGTGCGAAAACATGTTCACAGCAACAGAAGATACAGATTTATACCAAACACACCAACTCAAACCCCCGACCACCTGACGTCTATCTCAAAAGCAGACTCCGCCATATATTATTTAGTACTATTCTCGCCAGAGTCGCCACCATCATAACATGATTTCAATTTTTCCCGCATCGAATCAATGTCGCACGCGTGTATTCAAGAGCGACACGACATCGGCTATTATATTATATTTTCCAGAACAATTCCTCAAAGCAACATGTTACCAACTGCATCTTTCATAGAAATTTCGTTGCTCATGCGTAATTGTATGCGTGTTCTACTTACCTGAACCATTCCTTTGAATAACCACAACTTCACTGACGTGGCGGTGCGATGATTCCCATCCGTTCCGCTACACACAGCTGTCGCTGCCGTAGCCTGACGAGGTAGAATCGGCTGTTGAGACGGATTCGCTGAGAAAAGCCGATGATGTCTCAAAGGCGTTATGACAGCGTTTCCCGTTGTGGAACCTCCATTGATGTTGCCTGTCATTACAACCTCATTCACAGTGGCCGAACTACTGGTCCTCTCCACTGTGAAAAGAAATCACGTGACACTAACAGAAACTACTGTTACAATTTTAAACTTTATACATGTTCGATCGATGTTCTGTGTAGCAACGCAGTGTGGACATCGTTTCGGAGGAACATACTAACTCCATCTTCAGCGGCGAAGTATTAGATTTTATATAAAATTTCAAATTCTCTTGGGTGGGAAGTATGAATGCTGCTGTGTTCTTTGTTATTGCGCCGTGTAATATGGTAGAACACAATGTCTCAAATCGCTTGCTGCGTCCATAATCTCCCTGATGATGCCGGCAGCAAGTACCGACGAAACATCGGTAAAACTTCCACCACACGGCGCAATAAATCAGTAGACGGTCATCTTGCGTTGAAGATATTTGCATATATATGTGGTTTTCCTCAGTTATTCCAGGGATATATCGCGGTAGAAACGTAAATTAGATAACGTTTCCATATAACGTTCAATATATTAATCACTTATTCGACGTAAAAAATAATCTGAGATAATTACAAATGGAGAGCCACGGTGGTCTAGCGGTTAGAACGCTGGCCTTGTAATCCTGGAGGGTCTCGGGTTCGATTCCCGGCGGTGCCCGAATTTATAACTTGTGTTGGGCAAGGCCGTGGTCTAGGCAACACGGAGTTTTCCTCCGGGGGCTTCCCCGGTTTCTCCGTGGCATCCCATTCACACACAGAAGAAGGCAATGGCAAACCACTTCTGGATCATCTGCCAAGAACGTATATGAACAGGTCCCAGTCCGAGAAAAGGATGGAAGGATCCTGTTCATATGGACCTGTCGTCAGACAGAACACTAAATAATAATAAATAATTACAAATGTCGTTAAATAAACCACAAATAAATAGCTGTGGGGGGGAAAAGTACAGTTAAAAATGAAATTATAAGACATTTCCTTCTTATTCGTACTGTATCATACTGAAATATTATCAGCCTACGTCACGTCATGAACATTCTTTCGTCAGACATATTTAATGAAGAGTGTTGCTGATAACACGTTCTAGGAGTAAGTTAAACGAAGGCCTTTAATGTTGACGAAGTGAGGGGAAGGAGGCCATGTTACGTAACTGCTTTAACAGCGTCACTTTACACACAGCAGACATTCAGTTGCAGCCACAAACTGTTCATTGGTGCATTGGGTTTTCTGCTCGACGGGTGTCAGATATCAAGTGAGTACTATTACACGATTGTAACATTACCCTTGTTCAGTCAACAGGTTACTGGCCACGCAGAAGATTATAATCTCAATGAAACCCAATTCAATTATCTTATTTATCTCACGCGCTAACTAAACACCTACAAAAGTCCATTACAGAGTCTACGTAAGCGGGTAAAATATTAAAATAAAATAAAATAAATAAAACAATAAAATTGAAAATTAAACTAAACTAAATATTCGTACGTAAAATCGATCTAAACAATTTCTCCTATCGTAAATACGTCCTCAAAAGAGACCCCCCCCCAAAAAAAAATCTACGTCTTTTTCAGAAATTCTGCACCTAGCCTACTTTTAAAATAAAACATTATCTTATTTGTCTTATACGTACATGAATAATTATAGTAATCCTAATAGTAAATTATTTATTTAGCCCTTGAAGATATTAAGGCTTTGACCGGGATGTTCTTTTGTTAAATCTTATGTGGTACCGCCTGATTCGACTTCTAATGGTTAAGTGAAGTGTTTTCTTCGCGGTACGGTCTGGATTCGTAAATATTATGAAGACGAGCTTCGGCTTCAAAGGGTTAACCAGCTGATTTTCGTAATGGTGAGGTGTAGTGTTTTCTTCGCGGTACGGACTGAATTCATAAATAATATTCAGACGATCTTCGGCTTCAAAGGGTTAATAAGGAATAAAACATCGAGATATCGTCGGCTGAAATTAACTTTTAAGATGTAAACATCGATAGTTATCTTCGACCTGTTACATAATAAATATTAAATTATCATCAAATTTACACTATTTTAATAATCCTGACGCCCATTAAATTGTAACGTAGGTCTTTGCAATAATGACCTAAGGACGTTTTTGGAAGACACTAGCTCAAAGATGACCTCTAATGACAGTGCAACAATGACTTATGTCATCAGACTTAAAGAACGCATTTTAAGAGTCAGTGTACTCTAAAGAATACACATATTCAATCTAATTATTATAATTAATTTAGTTTTATTTTAATTTATTTTAATTAGTGTTGTATCAGAGAGTGTCATCGGCTCTTTGCTGCTGGAAAACAGTATAAAAATAATTAAAATAAATTTAAAAGAAACTGTCTATTGAATTATATTAAATAAGAAGCTATTAAAAATTAAATTTGAGTGATTATAACTATAGATTACTAATCACAATTAATATCAATTAGCATTATTCTACTGTAAATCAGCTTTATAATTTCCGCATTCATCCAAATATTTTGAGCCTTTGTACACGTATGGAAAGTTTTCAGATTAGAAAAAACAATTTCTGCGATTGAGTGAACACGAAAAAGTAAATAAGATAATCTTATTATCGGAAATTCCGATAAAAACTAGCCTGAAGTAAGGCCATGCGGAAACCAGTTTTACGTAACATCAGCATAACAACAAGAATGGCATTGTCGAGTTCCAGAAATGAAAGAACTTACCGCTCTGTAATTTAAACGTGTTTAAATAACCAATGAAGCAGAAAAGTATTTTTAAAAAAAAACTCAGCTACTCAAAAAATTCTCCGCCATTTATGGTACCTTACGGTTAATTAACGTATTTAAGAAACTTATCCACTAGTTTCTATTGTGAGACATGAATCCAATCCATAACATCGAAACATGTATTCATAAGATCCATTTTAATATTATCATTCCATCTACGTTAAACTTTTCTGGAGCCCCTTCCCTTCAAACTTCCCAACCACAATTTCTACGCATTTAAACGTGTTTAAAACTGATATAAAAATCAAAGATAATACTTCATACTGACAGACTTAATTATGAAATTATAAATTCAGGTTCAATGAAAACATAAAACATACACCACGCCCGTGATAACCTAAAATCTTACCCCTGTCTCACTATACGCCATGTAGGCGCTTGGGGGGAGAGGAGATATAGCTCCTACTCATTAGATAAGGGTGAGAAGTCAAATCTTACCTAGTCACTAACCAACTCCATGGAACAGATTTCTTCTTCAGAAGCTGATAGTCGTTAGCTAATCAACAAATTCCTGGTTTTTTATACGACCCAAATGTTCATCACCGTGTTAAGAACAGCCATGACACTAACCCATATCCTTAATATACATTTTAATATTGTTCTACCATCTTATTCTATGTCTTACAAGTGATCTCTTTCCGCCAGGCTTTCAAATGAAATTTATATTATATATACAAATCTTAACTATTCCATGTTACACTCCAAGCGTATTTAATTCTAATTGAAGAACAATATAAATTATCTTATAGCGTAACTTTCTCCAACCTTCGGCAAGTACAAACATTCCCCTCAAAAACCTGTAATTTATCTTTAAGTAACGAAATACTAACGTCGTTCTAACTGAATTGAATTTCGAGTTATTTATTTATTCGAAGACAATTAACGTCTTAAGAAATTAACCAGAGATCGTCTACTGACTTACAGTATATTGTATCTTTCCGTCAAGTCACTAAGGACTTTTGTTTTACGAGGTGCGATCGGAAAGTTTCTAGACTGCGCGTATAAAAACCCGTACACTTATCTCAGGTATTAAATTCATCCATCACCCTCGAAGTAGTTCCCCTGGGAGTGAACACAACGATCCCAGCGCCGCTGCCAAGCCTGGAAGCATCCCTGGAAATCTTTCTTTGTCAGCCTGTCAAGCACCATCTGCGATTCTGCCTGAATCTCTTCTATCGTCTCACATCTCCTTCCCTTTAGCTGAATTTTCATCTTTGGGAAGAGGAAGAAGTCACACGGAGCTTAGGAAGGAAGTTGGGGTCGGTTCTTGCAAGATCTTTGAGCTCCTGACAAACGAGAAGTCGATTCTGCTTCTGGTCCTCAGACAGGAGCCTTGGTTTCGCATGTGGAGTTCTTCCTTTAGAATCAGCTGACAGGTCCCAACAATGTCGCACAAGTCGTTATGGTACGACGTCGATCTTCGTGAATGGCCTGCCGAATCTTGGTAACATTTTCGGGCGTTGTGCTCGAAGATGGTCGTCCAGAACGCTCGTCATCATCGACAGAAGTTCGGCCGTTTTTAAAACGTGAATGCCACACAAAAGTTTGTGCACGACCCATTGCGGACTCCCCAAATGCTTGCTTTAGCATTTCATAGGTTTCCGTAGCCGTTTTGGCGAGTCTTTGGCAAGAGATTCAGGCAGAATCGCAGATGGTGCTTGACAGGCTGACAAAGAAAGATTTCCAGGGATGCTTCCAGGCTTGGCAGCGGCGCTGGGATCGTTGTGTTCACTCCCAGGGGAACTACTTCGAGGGTAATGGATGAATTTAATACCTCAGATAAGTGTACGGGTTTTTATACGCGTAGTCTTGAAACCTTCCGATCGCACCTCGTACGTTTGTTCTAATAGACACAATTTCTACTGAAAATAAACGTATTGGTTTTATTTAAATGGATTTCTCTCGCTGCAAAACTCAGCTCAGAAGGGGTTCTCTTCAATTATACACGCTACTGGGTAAATAATGATTCTTTTTATCTTCTCCCTGCGTACGAATGGGATGTTAACACATTCAATACCCAGTACGTAAATATAATCGATAAAGCTCTGGGAATTTACATAGGTCTGTGTTTTTTCGTGTTTGTTTCATCATGAAAAGCATATACGAAACTTGCGAAGTGCAGATATTTCTCTAAAGTAAAGCCAGACACATCCATCACTCACCCATGACCGAAAACCACAAAATTACTCCTCACGAAATAGAGTTACGAAATTGTACACAACCTATAATAATAATACAGGCATATGATTAAACAAAACATACGTAGCACATGTCAAAAAGTATCGATTATGAAAGATCTAAATTGAT